TAACTACTTCCACATCCTAACCATAAGGGCTAAAAGCAAGTATAAAGTTCAAAAGGGTTTGGACAAAATAAAGACAGATAATAACAAATATGTAATCACAAACCAGTCCACCATCAGTTTTCTATTATGGCTGAGACTAAACATAATCTCCGCCCAGGATTCTGTGAAAGACAACATGCAGCTGACTCATGTAAGACAACAGTAAACAAGCAAGGCTATCTTATTAAATATTTTCTCCAGATCCAAATAGTACTACCCAACATTTTTTTCCCTCAAATCGAGTTTTACTGTCATAAGGATCCCTAAAATTAAAATGTTGTCAGAGAAGCCTAGATGACCAGCCAGACACCTTGCAGTATCACCACCACCACAGCAATAAACACTTAACCTCTATGCCAAAAATTATACATCATCTCATTTAATCCTCACAACTCTGTAAGGCAAAACAACAAAGGTTTGGCAAGACTACTTCTACAAGGTCATACTGCTTATAAATAACAAAAGACTCAGGCAGTCTGACTCCAACACCCTTGTTCTTTGCTCTGTACACCTTACCATTTTACCTAGAAATGTAAAATTCAAATGAAAACTGATTATATTGGTTCATTATCTCTTAAAAATTATACAAATGAAATATTTCAAAGAAAATTCAAAAGTATATCTTTTTCCCTAATGCTGCATGTTTATACTACACATGCATCAATGAAGGTAGAATCTAACCAGATGTCCAATTTGCTGCCAAGTCCCAAAAAGTGAAATGAAGATGATATATAACTGTGTAACTCAGTTATCTCTTCATATACATGGCATAATATGGCAGATTTAAATTCAAAACAGATACCAACATATTTCCAGATACTTTCATCTAGAACTTCATCCCTGCTCATTCAAGAAATAAAAATTCAAAAAAAAAACCCACCTTATTTCAGGTATATTATTACTCAAATATACTAAACTGAAACAATGACCAAAAAGGAGAAAAAAACTAGTAAGTTAACCATGAAAACTGCTGGCACAATAAAAACAATTTAGTAAAGAATGCATGTCCCCCAAAACCTCATCCTCTTTTAATATTCTCTCAGTGAACAACACTACAAACCATCCAGTTACACAGCCCAAAAAAACCCAATGGTAGTCAACAGCATCCCCCGCCCCATATTTAACTCATCAACCAGTTCCACCTCCTATTCTTCTCTGGAATCCACCCATTTCCTTTGAACCACCTTCATCATCACTTTGCCCAAGGTAATGTCCTCTCTCATCTAGGCTATTTCAACAATCTCCTAACTTGTCTCTACTCATCTCTACTCTTAGCTTGTCCATACTCAGTGCTTCCTCTGGATAAATAACATTTATTTAATAGCACTTAACATAATTTTAACTTTAAATTTCCTTGGTTATTTGATTTATATCTGCCTCCCCTGCTACATAGTAAATTCTGTGAGTGTAGAGACTATTTACTCTCTACTATATCAAGTAGCCTAAGAGTACATAGTTAATAAATGTTAAATGATTAAATGCATGTCAAAGATTATAAATTTATAAATAGTTCAAAAAATAAAGTGCTTCTAAGGATCATCAATCATCATAAGCAATAACATGTCATCAATTCTAGATCACACAATTTTACATTTTAGCTCTGAAATTGAAATGTATCTTACAGTTCACAACCTTGGTCTAATTGGCAGTATTTTTTCCTCTTAGTAATTCATAAAAGATGGTACACCTTTGGAATTAAAAAAAAGAAAGAAAGAAAGAAAGAAATTCATGTTTGATGAAGTAGTTGAGTCTAAAATTCACTTCAGCCACTCAAACCAGATCCACTCAGGGGGTAACCTAGCCTCCTTCTCCCACGGCCACCACCTCATCCCCAACATTCAATAAGATCCTACTGGTTCTGTTGTCATCAGCCCTCAAGTCCATTCCTTTCTACCACTCTGAATATGATCACTCTAGATCTATGTAATTCCTCATTATCTCATAACTGAGCTCTTATAGATTCATTCATCTAAACTTTTTTTTCAAATTCAACCAACGCTGTGCACCTACTATGTGCAAGAAAACAAGATACAAAACAGTCCAATAACCTGGTCCTCCCTCTAATCTCTCTCCCTTATGACTCATTTTATGCCTCATCTGGAATTAGTTTCTTCCTGTTATCTGCCTACCATATTCCTATCCACTGTGTAAGCTCCAGATTAAATCTGATCTTCTTTATGAAACCTTCCCTAGTTAACCTGGCTTTCCAAGTTTTACATTCTAAAGCACATAAAATCTTAGGCATACTGGCTACATTTTCTACTTCCTGAAGGCAAGGTTTACATCTCACACATTCTGTAAGAGTCTAAGCCCTCAAAGAACAGAATCTTCTGTTGTCTCCTTTGTTCACTGCTGAATCCTCATCATGGTAAACAGTATCTGGTATGGGGCTGGCACCGTGGGTGGTATAGCGGGTAAAGCTGCTGCCTGCAGTGCCAGCATCCTATATGGGCACAGGTTTGAGACCCAGACGTTCCACTGCTAATCCAGCTCTCTGAGGTAGCCCGAAAAAGCAGAAGATGGCCCAAGTGCTTGCGCCTCTGCACCCACATGGTAGACCCAGAAGAAGCTCCTGGCTCCTGGCTTTGGATTGGCCCAGTCCGGGCATTGAGGCCATTTGGGGAGTGAACCAGTGGATGGAAACTTGCTCTCTCTCTCTCTCTCTCTTTATCTCTCTCTGTCTTTGTAACTCTGTCTTTCAAATAAATAAATAAATCTAAAAAAAAGAATATCTGGTATATAATGGCAACTCAGCATGAATTTGTTGAATTAATGCTCTTCATATTTTTCAGAGAACAGGTATTTGCAGTGAGAAGAGTCAGAAAAATAAAGATCAAATGACTTAAACTCTGAGCTTCCATTTATTTGTTCATCATCTAAATGTAATATTCAGTAGTCCTGGGGCAGGTGGTGTGGCACAGTAGGTTAATCCTCCAGCTGCAATGCCGGCATCCCATACGGATGCCGGTTCTAGTCCCGGCTGTTCCTCTTCTGATCCAGCTCTCTGCTGTGGCCTGGGAAAGCAGCAGAAGATGGCCCAATGGCTTGAGCTGCTGTACCCGCGTGGGAGACCTGGAAGAAGCTCCTGGCTCAGCTCTGGCTATTGCAGCCATTTGGGGAGTGAACCAGCAGATGAAAGACCTTTCTCTCTCTCCCTCTCACCATCTGTAACTCTACCTCTCAAATAAATAAATAAAATCTTAAAAAAAAAAAATTCAGTAGTCCCTGAGTTGCTATAATTAACTGAGATAATGTGTTAAAAGTATCTAGAACAAAGAGAACAAGAGGATACTCTTATCAATAAATTGAGTATTTTGTTAAATATTAGTAAGTATTCAATTAATGCCTAGTAAATGAATAAAATCTCAAGAAAAATATAAACAGTTTGAATAATATCTAGCTTATCCTTTTTTCCAATAAAGAATCTCATGAGTGAATTAATTCTGAAATACTATACATGTAGCTCCAAATTTTATGCATGGCTGAAACCACTACAGATTATCTAGGAATAATCCCAACTTGACAGGATACAAGTATTTTTCTATCTTACTGACAGATACAAATTTTACTGAGTAATAATCTTACTATTAGAACCTCTACAAGTGCAATAACAGACGACATGGTGCAAACTCATCAGTTACATGTTCCCCAGAAAGCATGCAGTACAAAATTTCTGTCTACAAAACACTAATGAACACACTACAACACAGTTGCCCAGAGCTATCAAAGTATCTAGAAACGCTTCATAAACAGTTACCACAGATATGTTTTATATAATTGCATCCATTTATAGAAAAAGAGCATAATTAAATGGTTTTGAAACACTTTACTAAATCATACAATTCCATATGTTGACTTTTCATCTTTAAAAAGTCTGTTTTATAGCGAATGAACTGATAATTCAAAATAATATCAGATTATTGACTAATCAGAAACTCTTCCTTGTTTTATAAAAGAGCTTTTATCATCTGAAACTCAGAAAATACACCGATTTTAAGTTTTATAGCCTTTCCAATCGCTCAGGGGCACTTTAATCTAACAACAAATCCCAAACAAGCAAGAAGGAAGAATCATTTCTTTGTGTCTATCTGCTATCATCTGACACAAAATCATTACAAAAATTCCACTGGGTATTTGCGGTTCAAGTAGAACACCAGAAAAAAAAATTCCCATATATGTCATTCAGATATTAAAAAACACCACCACCAACAACAAAAAGAGCTGTAGGATCAAGTATTCCCTAACTATAGGACAGCAGTGAACACCATGTGGGGAAAATCACAACAAAACAAAAATGTAGCCAAAGAAGTACGAACCATAACCTCAACCAGCAGTAATGCAGAGCTGACCACTGGGATCCCAATTCATAGTCACCAGATCTAAGAACCTATTCTGAACCTTCGACCTCGAGAGCCCTTTCCTGTGGTGAGGCTGGGGAGGGTTGAGGGCAACTCGTGAAACAAAGTGAGCGAACGTGGATACGCGGATAGGGAGGCAACACTATATCCCCGCTACCGGGCTACAACTGGAAGTGACAACCAAGCCCTACGGGAGGAAGGGCGCTAAGAATGCGATGGTTAAGCGCTCGGGGATCCGACTGCTTCATTTTCCTTCAAAGGGATGGGAGTCGGGGGTGGAGCCCGACCCGACAGAGCCCTGGCGCTGGGTCAGAGGTCCCCGGGATGCGACAGCCTAGGGGACATCAGAGACCGTGCCTGGGACACCTAAGAAAAGCACAAGGAAAACGAGAACAGCTGCCCAAGGTAAGGCTTACGGCTTGTCACCTCTGGAGCCGAGGACGGCGCGACGACGAGTCAGAAAACAAATGACACAAGAAGAGACACCCGAGGGTGGCGCCAGAGCCCTCCGAGAAACCAGCGGGTTGGCCACAGGGTCTCCCCAAAGTGAAGGGCCCCCCCCCCCAAGAAACCCGGTCATCGGGGACCAGAGACTATCCCAACCTTCTCGTCTCCGCTAGCCTCACGTCGACCCCTCACAGAAACAGAAGGGCTGGAGAGCTATAACGACGCGCAGGAGCCACCAACCCGGGAAACGCTCAGCACCGGCTACAAAAGCAGCCCGCACGCAACACCATCGGACCTCAGCGCCGCAGCCACAGGTACCCCGAGCTCGCCGGCCACCGTAGCAAGAGGAACGGCCCCGCCTTCAGCTCTATCAGGTCAGCCACTTCCGGGGCACCAGAGCCGTGGATTGGCGGCAGCGGCCGCGGTAGCAACGGCTCGGAGGCCTCTGCTCCACTTCCTCCATCCTCCCTTTTGTCCACCTGTTCGCCACCTCAACCCCTAATCAGCCATGCGGCAAACGCAGAAACGAGAGAAAGTAGCCATGTGTAAGCAGCGTCTCTTTGACAGACAAACCACACGTTCCGGCTGCCTGGCGAATAGTCGGACTTCAACTACCAGCATGCCGTGCGAAATAATTAGCATGCTTCTGTCGCAGGAACTACAAGATCCAGCATGCACCGTTTCTTCATCCTTCACTGTCCCGGACCGGAGCAGACCTCCTACCAAGCCCCACTTTGGTAAAATACTCGTCTCTCAGTTACCCTGAGGTGAAGGTACACCAAGCCAAGCTGTGCCTGGGACTGCAGGTTAAATACCTGTAAGAAGACAGCAAAGGATATGTGCACTCATTTTCCACATTAAAATTATCCTCAAGGATGAAGCGCAGGGAACAATCTGAGGAGACCTTTTATGAAATGGAAAACTTTATCTTCACTTTAAAGGGTTGTTACGGAGAAATACTAACTGCAAGATGTAATTCTGTATCGTCTTGTTCGAGCAGACTACGTGTGACGTGCCCCTGAACTACATAGGAAATTATAGTAAAAGCTAGAAATTAAAAGACTGACAGCCTGTACTACCAGACTGTGAACCACATGGAAATGAAAGTCTTCCAGAAGGCGAGTTAAAAAGTTAAAAAGAAACTTGAGACTTTTTTTTCCCAGTTTTTTAGTGTTTTGTGATTTGAATTATTTTTATTACTCTCATATACATGACTAAAACAGTTTATTTCCTTCTGATGTGGTGAGGCAGCCAATTAAGCAATCAAGGCAAAAGTATGGCAGGATCATAAATGGAACATTTATTAGAGTGAGCGACCAAAAACTGTTTCTTGTATGATTAACTTATGATTCTATATTTTGAAATGCAGAACTCTTCTGATTTTTTTAGGGGAGATAATATGCCTCTAACAAGCCATCTGGATGCCTTTTTGTAACTTCCATAAGGACTTGGATAATGAGAATGTATATAAATTATTCTTGGTATCATGCATTAGCAGGCCACAAGAAACAATGTTTGAATACTTAAGATAACTATTTGATATGAAAAAGTTAAATTGTGTATATACTACCAATTTTAATTGGTTGGGAAAAAGTGTAGGACACGTTTCATTTTTTCAGCTTCACATGGAAGTCACAGAGGGACACTATATTCTATAACGCTGACATAGTATCAGCTACCATACAAATGGCTTTTCAACTCCAATGTGCTAAATTATGCAGCACTAGCAAGTAAATATTTAAAACCTATGATTATGGAGAACAATCTGTTGCTTTCCTTACTCGCACAGTAAACAATGTGAATATAATGAGAGAGAACATTTCCGTTGGAATGATTCAAAGGTAATGTTGGTAAACTATATTAGGTTATTCGATATTTGTAAGTGTTTGTAGTAAATAAATGCATAATCACATTTACTAATTAGTATTAAGGAACCTTTTAAAATATGCTAAATATTTAATACATGTATTACTAAAGCAGTTTTAATGATCAGTTATATAAATAAACATGGGAGAGTTTAAAGATTATATAATTTATAAACAGACTTCATGTTTTCTAAAGAGATCCTTGCAGTGGTAGCACTCAACAGTATTCCTTGCTCTAAATGTGTCTGTGACTTCCTGATTCAGTCAATTGCCGACTACACAAGAGGTAAAATTAGACAAGCTGTCCATTTCAGTTCAGCACATATACTGAGTGCTGCCAGGAGCAAAGCGCTCTGTCTCGCTGCTTCTGAAGCACAGTTTTGACAATTAAGAAGGGTCTAAAGGCAAATGAAAAGCAGAGGGGAGAGCTTGACCGGAATGGAAAACAGGGTGAAATACGTGTTCACACCGACTTTCAGTAATCATTTATAGATTTGTTAATTCGACTTCTACAGTAGTTAGTACACTTTCTCAAAGGCAGGAGCTGAGTCTGAAACACGTGTCCCTCTCAGTTCCAAGCACAGGATTTTTACGGAGTAACTAGCTCGCAAAAAATGCTTATGACAATTCAGTGATGACGGAGGCACTGAAACTCCTTTCTCCTTGACACCATCCAGTTTTCGTGCAAGCTGTTTCTAACATCTGTGCTTTTTGTAGGTTGTAATTCAGGTATAATTATTAAAACCAGAATATTTGGTTACTGAAAGTACCATATTCAATAATCTAAAAGATAAATTTACTACTTGGTGTGTGTGTGTAACATTTATCTTAAGTGTCAAGCCTTTCTAAAATGTCATCATAGTCTAGGCATAAACTTTAAAAGTATACAAACCATTCTAGTAGTATTGACTGTGATAAAGCTCCGCATTTTTATTGATAAAGTTTTTTTTAAAAGATGTATTTATTTATTTATTCAAAAGGCAGAGTTACTGAGAGGCAGAAGCAGAGAGAGGTCTTATATCTGCTGGTTCACTCCCCAGGTGCCCACAACGGCCAGAGCTGCACTGATCCAAAGCTAGGAGCCAGGAGCTTCTTCCGGGGTCTCCCACACAGGTACAGGGGCCCAAGGACTTGGGCCATCTTCCACTGCTTTCCCAGGATATAGCAGAGAGCTGGATCAGAAGTGCAGCAGCCAAGATTCAAAGCCCATATGGGATGCTGGCACTGTAGTTGGTGTCTTTACTTGCTATGCCACAGCACTGTCCCCAGTAAAGTTTTAATCCTTAACTTCTACCAAATGTACAAGAAGTCTTCAAAACGTTCATGGGGGGCTGGTGCTGCGGTGTAGCAGGTAAAGACACCAACTGCAGTGCTGGCATCCCATATGGGTGCTGGTTCAAGTCCCGGCTGTTCCACTTCTGATCCAGCTCTCTGCTATGGCCTGGGAAAGCAGAAGATGGCCCAGGTCCTTTGGCCCCCCAAACCCACATGGGAGACCCTGAGGAAGCTCCTGTCTCTTGGCTTCAGATTGGCACAGCTCCAGCCGTTGTGGCCATCTGGGTAGTGAACCAGCAGGTGGAAGACCTCTATCTCTCTGCCTCTGCCTCTCTGTAGCTCTCCTTTCAAATAAATACATAAATCTTAAAAAAGAAAAGTTCATGGAAAATGCATACAAAAATTATGTATAGATTTCAACTTTCTGGCACCAAAAGGAACTTTATCTTGTGATTCCATTTTTCCACAAACATCCTCTTGTACTTGTTATCCCTGCTGAACCCAGACAAAGATGAAGGTTCTATTTGATGAGTGAATGTGTACCATGAATGACTCAGTGGAAATATTATATTGAGATAAGCTGAACTCATACATAATGAGACAAATACCTTGTAGACTTATAGACTTTTTTTTTTTCAAGATTTATTTAGGGCTGGTGCCATAGTGCAGTAGGTTAATCTCCCACCTGTGGCACTGGCATCTCATATGGGCGCCAGTTCTAGTCATGGCTGCTCCACTTCCAATCCAGCTCTCTGCTATGGCCTGGGAAAGCAGTAGAGGATGGCCCAAGTGCTTGGGCCCTGCACCCGTGTGGGAGAACCATTAGAAGCTCCTGGCTCCTGGCTTTGGATCAGTGCAGCTCTGGCCGTTGTGGCCATTTGGGGAGTGAACCAACGGAAGGAAGACCTCTCTGTCTCTCCCTCTCACTGTCTGTAACTCTACCTCTCTAATGAATAAATAAAACTATTTAAAGATTTATTTATTTATTTATTTGAAAGGCAGAGTTACAAAGAGGCAGAGGCAGGGATAGAGAGAGAGAGGTCTTCCATCCATTGGTTCACTACACAGATGGCCACAATGGCCAGAGCTGGGCCTATCCGAAGCTAGGAATCAGGAGCTTCTTCCAGGTCTCCCACAGGGAAGTAGCGGCCCAAGGACTTGGGCCATCTTCTACTGCTTTCCCAGGCCATAGCAGAGAGCTGGATGGTAAGTGAGCAGCTGGGTCTCAAATCGGCACCCATATGAGATGCTGGCACTGCAGGCAGCAAATTTACTCACCACACCACAATGCCAGCCCCGACTCCCGACTTAGAGACTTCTAAAAGCTTAAAAAAAAAAAAACTTATTTTAAAGGAAACTTGAAAGCCTTTCTTCCTTTCCAAGTAACTGTATTCTTTGTTTCCATTACCTCTCCTACATTTTCAGCCATCTCTCTCTCTTTCTCCTGCCCTCTTTACCTCATCCAAACATGCACAAGATCCCTATAATTTTAAAAGTGCTTTTAGTAAACTCAAGTTGCCTCTTAATTGCAGTATTATTTTATCTTCCTTTTCCTTTAATAGCCATGCTTCAGCAAGTTCTACAAAGTAAACCTTATGCTGGAAATGCAGTGCAGGATCTCATCACAGCATGACCCTGGGCATATGAAGAGAATTCAGGTAAAGAGCTTATGATGGCCGGCGCCGTGGCTCACTAGGCTAATCCTCTGCCTTGCGGCGCTGGCACACAGGGTTCTAGTCCCGGTCAGGGCGCCGGATTCTGTCCCGGTTGCCCTTCTTCCAGGCCAGCTCTCTGCTGTGGCCAGGGAGTGCAGTGGAGGATGGCCCAAGTGCTTGGGCCCTGCACCCCATGGGAGACCAGGAGAAGCACCTGGCTCCTCCCATCGGATCAGTGCAGTGTGCTGGCCGCAGCGCACCAGCCGCGGTGGCCATTGGAGGGTGAACCAACGGCAAAGGAAGACCTTTCTCTCTGTCTCTCTCTCTCTCACTGTCCACTCTGCCTGTCAAAAAAAAAAAGAGCTTATGATGTCACAGTACAGTGTGATAAATGCTATGATAAAGGTATGGATAAGGTAGTAAAAGAATGATAAGAATTACTTACTATCCAATTGAAAAATCTGAGAAGGAAGTTCTTGAGAAAGCTTAAATGACAAAAATGAGAGTGAATTAGATACAAAAAAGGACAGCGCAAACTAGTTTAGGATAATTCATAAATTCATTATAGCTGGAATGTGAGTGAGTTGGAGACAAGGTCCGATATACCTCTGGAAAAACAGAATAGAGTAATTTCATGCAGAGGCCTTGGATACTATGATGAAGATCATGGATTTTAAGCTGGAGGTAAAAGAAACCACTTAGGGAATGACACACTTAGATTTTAGTTGAGACTGTTGTTTGTAGTATCAAGAATAGATTGGGATGATAAGACCAGTTAGGCGACTGTTTTTACAAATCAGTTTTTTTTAACTAGGAGATCTGAAATAAAGCCATGATAAGGGAAGAGCAAAATATTGATCAGAGACATTAAGATAATAGAATCAAGAGGGGGTGTGTGTGAGAGAAGGAGTCAAGGGAAACTTCCAAGTTTCTGGCTTTTCAGTTTCCCACATGTTGAGTTAGGAATGGTTAAGAGTCGTCAGATGGCTGTACGGAGTAGACAGTTACTTAAAGGGAAGATTTGACCTGAATATATAGCTTTGAGAGTCGTCAGCTTTAAATGACATTTGAACTCATGAGTATGGATAGGATTATGGGTCAAGTGGATGGGAATCTGAGCTAGTTACCAGAAAGTCAACAGGTTACAGAGATAGATAAGGTGGAGAATTATATATGCAAATCTCAAGGACTGTTTTAAAGGAACAGAATTTCTACAAAAAAGTGTGGAAGTACTGGTTTAGGTGTAGCATTGAAGAATTAAGAGGAAGCTGAACTCACATCTGCACCCAGGACTCATGAATAAATGGGACCAAAGAAAAAGACAGCAGAGTATAAATTACAGAAGGTAGCAAGGGGCCAAAATTCTCAGCGGAGAGTCAGCATTGTCTAAAACCAGGTGGCAAAGCCAGAATTCTCTAAGGAGAATCAGGATGTTGTAAATTGGAGCATAAAATAAGGAATAGAAAGATTTTGAAGAAAGAAAAATAATAGGAAACTACAGCTGAGAACACAAATGGGAAGATGGTAACCAAGCATGACAGGAATATAAAGTATTCACCAGCCTTGAGGTTTCAAAACAGAAGCCCTGTGTAAATCCGAGATAAGCCTGCCCTGCGTGTGTAGCTTTGACTAGACTTGGCAGCAGAAAGTGCAACCAACTTACAAACACTCTTATCCTTCCTAATAGAACCCACCCTCTTCTTCAGGGTCAATGGTTTCATGGGAAAGATACCCACGCCCAGTCCTAACTATGGGATATAAAATACAGTGTACCTAGGGTTTGGAGCCTAGACATTGTGGCCCATTTTTCTTGGTTTGAATGTGAATATGTGACATGATTCTAAGAAATAGGTTATGAGGGAGTGGCGTTATGATACAGCAGGTGATTGACTGGAATATCATACCAGAGCAGCAGTGCAAGTCTGGGCTGTTCCACTTCCATCCAGCTCCCTGCTAATGCTCCTGGGAGAGCAGCAGAAGATGACTCATATGCTAGGGGCCCTGCCACTTACATGGAAGACCCAAAAGGAGTTCCAGGCGTCTGGCTTTGGCCTGGCCCAGCCCCAGCTGTTGTAGCCATTTTGGGGATGAACCAGTGGATGGATTGGAATTCCTTCCTCTCTCTCTCTCTCCCTCCCTCCCTCTCACTCCCTCTCCCTCCCTCCCTCCCTTTCTCTCCCTCTCTCCCTGTCTCCCATTCTCCCTCTCTCCCTCCCTCTCTCTCTCTTTCTCTTCTCTGTTCCTATGCCTTCCAAATAAAATAAATTATAAAAAAAGAAAGAAAAAAAGAAATGGGATGTGAGAGAAAATTTGTTGAGAGTTTCTAGGAAAAGTCTTTCTCCCTAATAAGCAATGCATGATGTACATTCACATTCATTGCATTATTTGCAATAGCTGAAAGGAGGATAAATGAACAAAATATCATGTAGATACAGCTTTAAAGCTCAAAGATATTCTTAAACATGCTGCATGGGTGAACTTTGGGCACATTATGCTAAGTGAAATAAGCAAGTCATAAAAAAATAAGTAAATACTGCATGATCCCACTTACATGAACTACCTAGAATAGTCACATTCAAGAGACAGAAAGTAAATGGTAGTTACCAGGGACTCAAAGGTAAAAGAATTGAGGAGATATTAGTAGGTGTAGAGTTTCAGTTTTATTAAAAGAAAAGAGTTTTGGAGATGGACTGTAGTGATTCACAAAAATATATATGTACTTAATGCCACTGAATTAGATATTAAAAATGGTTATGATGGTAAATTTTGTGTTATGTATATTTTACTCCAGTAAAAAATTTGGAAGGAAAAAAAAAGTACTGTATGCCAAGATCATTCAATGGCCAGAAACGAGTTCCTTCAAGAACCGAGGGTGGAAGGTCCCTGAATTACCACCTAAGAAAGGATGACAGTGGCCCCTTACCTCACCCAGGTAATAATGCTCAGCATCGCTAGTCGTTAGGAAAATGAAAATCAGAACCACAATGGGATCATTTTTGTCCTAAATGTAGATGTTGGGTATGATACAGGCCAGTCGGTGCAGCCACAGGAGAGGAGAACAAGGCTTGAAATAAGTTTGTTACACTGACGGGTCCCAGAGAAAGGATCACGCTGTGTCACAGAGGACCACAATGAAAGTGCCTGATTTAGTCAGGTGGCAGAAGACAGGAGCCTTTACTATGGTTTCTGCAGGAAAGGAACAGCAAGGAAGAGGCACAGTATAGGACTGGCTAATTTGGATAATTCTGATGGGTTATGGATTTTGAGGGTAATCTCCAGTGACCTGGTGCCTAGCCCTGGGATGATTTAAGGAAAGGGAAATACTGGCTTGTGTGTAAAAGTTAGCTAAGGATATGGTTAGCAGAAGATGTAGACTCTGGGTTGGTTGATTTATTTATGAAAGGCATGCTTCTAGGCAAGTTGTTATTATCTTTAGGAGTTGCTTGTCTTGAAAAGGCAGTCTTTCCCTAGGGTTGGAAAAGCCTCCAAATGCAAGAACATCAAGAAAAGAGAAAATATGGTCAATATAATATTCACCTCATGATGAATAAATATGAAATAGGCAAACACAGAATCTAAGAAAATGTGTTAGAATAACTTCATACCTACTAGAACGGCTGTAATCAAAAAGCGGAAAATGCCAAGTGTTGGCAAGGATGTGGAGAAATTGGAGCCTCTTACATCACTGGTGGGAATGTTCAGTGGTACAGTCACTGTGGGGAACAGTGTGGTAATTCCTCCAAAAAGTTAAACAAAGAGTTATGAAATAGCCTAATAACCCCATTCCTAGGTGTATAGGAAACAGGGACTCAGGTACTTGTATGCCAATGATCGTTGCAGCACTATTCACGATATCCCAAAGTAGAAATAGCCCAAAGGTTCATCAATAGATGAATGGATAAATAAAATGTATATATCCATAAAATGAACTATTATACAATTGAATAATATAAATGGGGATGAAGTACTGATATATGCCACAATACAGATAAATCCTTTGAAATATTATGCAAAATGAAAGAAGCCAGTCACAGAAGGCAACATATTCTTTGATTCCACTTATATGAAATATCCAGGATAGGCAAATCCATACAGACAGAAAGCAGGATGGAGAAAATGTGAGCGGAGGATGACTGTCTAATGCGTATGGGGTTTCTTTTTGGGGTGATAAGAACATTGTGGAAGCAGATAGTGGAGATGATTGCACAACATTTTTAAAGTTACCAAATGCCATTTTAATGCTACCAAGCTGTACACTTTGAAGTGGTTGAAGTGGTAAGGTTAATATTATGTGTGTGTTACCACAATGGGAAAAAAGTACCAAAAAAAGTCTGTCTTCTGCTAAACATTTTGAGTCTATGATATCCAGAATGTTTGAAAGGTTACTAAAAGAATAAATAAAAATAGTTATTTACAAGCTTCAAGTACAGATACCCAATACATCATAGTTATTGTTATTCCAAATTAAAAAACTAATAATCTGTAGGTGTTTGGATACACGATTTGCCTCTCTTAGTTTTTGTGTATTCTCTGTCTCAACCCCAAATGTAAACTCTTGGACAGTAGGAATAATTGTTTTTGCTCGCTGGTATAACTTGAGCCCCTAAAAGCAGTGCCTAGCTCATGGTAGGTGTAGCAGGATTCCTCTACTGAGACAAGACACCAAGGCCTCTTAACAGGAAGTAGTTTTCTATTATGCCGGCAGAAGGTCCAGCTGGAATTTCTTATCCAAAATCCTGAGCCCCGAACAAGAAGGGTTTTCCCTTATGTATGGTTTTAGCCCCTTTGTCTCCCTTATATGGTTACCTGTGTACATTTGATTGGATATTCTAATGTTTCATGGCAGCCATAGGATTGATACAGTACTGCACATGCAAACAGTGCACATAGTTACTGAAGATTTTGTTTGTTTTTGCATATACTGAGCCATTGGCTGTCTGGCAAGGGTTAACACCATTGCACTGTACTAACAAGCAGAACCTGAAATGGTTACATACCAGCAG